GATGAAAAAATTCGTCGGTTTTTCATACTCTATTATATCTTTCACAAACCACAAGAATTTTCCGTTTTTGTCGATCAAAGAAGGCCAAAAAGCTGCTGATTTCCATTTCGGAACAATTAAGGTACCCTTAGCTCTACAATTTAATAAATGCTTTATTGACCTCCCTATCAAAAAAACGGGAGGAACAATCCAATTCAAATCTTGTGACCAGTCGAACGCGAATGCGTCGACTCCGCTTGTTCCAGGGGTCCAAAACAAAGAATAAAATTTTTTCACTTTGTAATTATTGCAACTCGCAAAAATATCACAAGTGTAAGGTCCCCAAACCTTATTGAAAAATACAAAAATATGATTGCTTATACCCCAATCGTCAAAATCGAAAACTTTGCTAACAAAGTCTGCTTCTAAGTTTTGATCTCGTGGAACCCAAGCTACTGAAAAATCTATATTTCTTGTCAAACAATTTGTATATATAGAAAAAGCAAGAGATTGTAAATCCGAATTCATACTGCCGATCTGCGAAATTCTAACAACGTTTTGATTGTCTGAGTATAGTTTTACAAATTTATTTTCTAAAACACCACCAAAAGTTTTTACAAACACTTCAACTGTCTTAAGTTCTCTAAAAGTTGAACTTCGAACTCTCTCTGATTCGTCCCACATAACATGAAAAACTTTCTTAGTCGAATCTAACATAACACCACCGCCTGCAAAATTGCTAGCATCAGTAAAAACAATGCGTTCCGGTGTGCGATACCATGGGGAAATAACCCTGGCGGGAATAGATAGGCTATTTTTTAACCAAAACTCTAGCTCACACCAAGCAGGAAGTGAAATATTAATAATTTTATCCCAACATGATGCATTAGCAATAAGCATTGACAATTGTCTCGTTGTTATTTGACAAACGGGCCCAAGTGCAAACTTAAAAGAAATAATGCTACCTACTACTGAAGCGAGATCTCTAGCAGAAATATTTTGTTTTTCTTTGAGTTTATTTATCTTGCTACACAAACTCTCTAATTTATGTCGAGGGATACCAATAAAACCGACTTCTAAATTCCACTCAAAACTGAGCCACTCTAACTTTTGCACTGGGTTCCAAACGCTCTTAGCTTCATTAACAAGAAAACCAGCATGCAATAAATCTTTTTGAATATTCTGTGACATTAAAATACAATTTTGTTTGGAATCGCAAACCCAGCCATCGTCTAAATACATTATAACTCCGTATGCTTTTGCTCTCCAAAACAATACTAATGGTCTTAATACTTTAGTAAAAATATAACCAGCACTGCTGAGACCGAAAGGTAGGACTGTGAATGCGAAATACCGCTTTGAGCCATTGAAATTCCAGGAAAAACCTAAATATTTGTAAAAATCTGGATGGATGTTTACATGATGATATCCGCTTGTTAAATCAAATTTAATCATAAATAAACCTTTTTCGGCAAAATTGAGACCCTCTGAAGACCCCTCGAATTTGAATTTTCTCTTTAAAACGCATGCATTGACGTGTCTAAGATCAAGAATCAACCTTGGCTTTTTATTCAATGGCGCTGAAACGGTCAGTGGATTTACACAATGGGGCGGTTCAAAACATTCAATGACTAACTCTTTTCTCAGCAATTCTAAGATGGCCTTTTCAACAAAAGGGGCGCTCTGCACTGCTGATTTGTTGTTAGATAAACATACAACTTCAGGATATGTAATAAATTCAATTCTATAGCCAAATTTGATAACATTTAAAATATAATCGTCTGGCTTTATAACATTCTTCCAAAATTCCACAGAGTTTTTTAAACGATCTTTAACTGAAATGTTTGAATTTGCGTCAAAGTCAGATTTAAGGTCTAATATATGACTAACATACTCAACTTCATTGCTGGTTTGCTGTTGATGTTGGAACGAGTGCTGTTGTTTGGGTTCCCTGGGGGGTTGAGCACTGGAGTTGCTGAGTGTACGGGCAGAATCTTGCAAAATGGCCCGGGAGTCGACAGTAGTGGCAGACGATGTTTGCAACTTGTGTTTGTAGGGGATTTCTGTAGTTTGCCGAACTGGGCGCAATGAATCTAGGGTTGAACTGCTGGCGGTAGTTGAATTTTGCACTGCCGAGAAAAAGCTGCCTAGAGGACAAACCATCGAACACTCCTGAAGTTTTAGGGAAAACGGGTCTGTCGTAAGGAGATTTACGTTTCTTGTTGGCGGCTCTTGAGATAGCGGAGCGCAATCTGGCGGCATCCTCGCTATTGTCAGCAATATCAGAATCCACATACTCCTTGACCGTATCCCACCCATGTTTATCAGCGATTCGCAATATCTTGTTTCGTTGACGAATGGCCTCTATCTCGGAGGAAATTAAATCTGTGACACCGCTGAAATCGCCAGAGATGAGTTTTTGTGATAACAGTTCTAAACCTCGCAATCTCTCCTCATTAAACTGAAACTGTATTTTGTTTCCTTCTCCGCGGAACTCAAATGTGTTTGTTGGTTTTAAAAGCTTATCTTGTATTTCAGAAAGAATGAGAGTTTTTTGCTTTTCAAGGGCGGTGTCTAACCTGCTGTTGAATAAACTGACGGCGTCAATGACATCAAAATCCTGGCCGGAATTAGAATTTGTCTCTGTACGTAGTTCTCGAGGAACATCTCTATTACTTGTAGAAGTTGAACTTGATTCTGTTGACATGCCAAAGACTTACTACAACCTGCGATTCTTTGTAACGAACGTCGCATTAATCGAACATTCCCCGGTAAAAGTATTTATAGTGAGCGCTAAATCGCTCGTGCATGAAAAACCAGTTTCTTTAGATACGAAGTTACACGGAGAATACCGAAGTAAAAACGTAAAGAAATAAATCGATTCTGAGGTAAAATTGGCTATAAAAATTTACGGATGTCAATATCATTCAATTAAACATCACCTTAGACCTTATAGTACCCCATTACATTCAATTTTATGGGGTTTCCACCACTTTATTGGGGTTTCACCCCTCCTGTATGGGTATTCTCCAAAAATCGGGGGGTTTCGGGTTTTTCCAGTTACCGTCTACACTGCACTTGGAGAATTTGAGCGAGTCCGAATCTAGTCTCTCCAACACAATCGGATAAATGCAAAGGTTGCCCACATCTCTTGCACTCCTTTAAATTATTTGCAAGGATACCAAGTTCGATTATACGTCTACCTTCGCTCCAATCATTTTTACCTGTTGGCTCAACAATTTCCTCTCTAGCAACACGAACATCGCTGGCAAGGGGGTCAACACAGTGATACACATGGTCTTCGTTCGTAACTGGAGTGATTACTGGTGTTTCAACATTTTCTTTGGAAGTACTATCATCACTGCGGTCCCAATATTTCACACACTCTCTCCTCAGGACTTCATTTTGCTTTATACGAGAGGATTTCACGAATTTCCCCTTCTTATTTCTTGCCGCCATTACTGCGGGATGTTATCGATAAATAATAGTGTTAAAAACCTATCCGGGAGTCCGATCCGGTTATGACGTCACACGACTAGACCCCTACTTTAACTAGAAAAAATATGTAAAATAAAATGTAGTTTGTGTCAAGTTCAGAACATCAGCTCTTCAAGGGTACAGGTGTAAGAAAACGAGACGCATCTCCTTTGCATTTAAATGGAGAAAACATTTTTAATTTACTACTGAGTATACTCGTGTTTTAGCCAGGGAATCCACCTGACAATTGAATTCACCTAAAGTACAACAAAGCAATTAATACAGTCGCAAATCGCTTTAACAAATGAATTGTTTGCCATTGTGATCATGAATAATAATAGAATTCTTAAAAATGCTTTTCATTTACGATTGATTGATTGTATATTGTTTAACGTCCCTCTCGATAATTTTTCACTCATATGGAGACGTCACCGTATGCCAGCGAAGGGCTTCAAATTTTGACCTTTACTCGGCACTCAGGGCCATTGAGCAGTGAGGGATCTTTATCGTGCCAACGCTTGCCGCTGACACGGGGTTTTCATTTACGAAATGGATGGGAAAATGGTTTTTGTGCCTTTCCGATCGACATGAGATTTTTCTTTATTCAAGCGTAAAATTCCTTTAGTATTCGTAGTAACCCATAATGCAATTCTCATTCAGATGATTTGTCAGTCAAAGTCATATTGGTGCCGCATTTGCTAATCTGACGCCCAAAATATAGTCCCGGTTCCCATGCAAAAATATTTGTTCGAAAAGGAATTTTAATTCATAACTGCAGAAAATTGTATCATAGAGAATTCAAGTTTGAATGAATTCAATAGAGATCGATTGAAGTAAAATCTTACAGATATTATAGGATGGTGAAAACTGAAACGCAACATAATTTTTCTGTTTACCATGTCTCCACGTGCTAATCTCTTCCTAGCCACATTCCGTGAATAATTCACCCTATCGCTAACACTCGCTAGAGCCACTACCAGAGCTACTCTGAACTCTTCAGATTTTATAATTTGTAGAACACCGAAAAACAGGTTCCGAACACATTATTAGGGTGTGTATTTGGTCAATCACAACTTTTAGGGCCTTTCCGACTGGCAGAAAAACCACCTCGTATGTACTACAGTACATAGAGGCCATGACAACCCCCTTTTAACAAACTTTGAAATAAATGTTGGAAGATCACTTATCTGTGGAGTACGGAGTTTAATTTTATTGAATGTAAAGATATTACCTAAAATATACAAGAGAAGGGACTTTTAACCTATTCAATCCTATATTCAAATAAACAGGAAATGTCTAAATCTTACCCAGTAATGTTAATACATTCGAGGTAGTTTTTACACCTCGAGAAAGACCCGAGATGATGCGATTGAAGTTGGGTGTGAGGAAAACAAATAATCACTACTATGATTACATCATAGGTATAACTCGGCACGGAGAACGAAAATTAAACTGAAGCCTGACATTTTACGCGATGGCCAACTAATTAGTCATAAAAAGGGCATAATACATGTACATACTTTTTGACGTGTTCTATTTTTCAGGAAGCATAAAGAAATGCGGCAGGCAATAAAAATTGAAGATTCTGATTCTGAAAACAGAATTTCCTTTGGACATCCCGGTTTCTCTTTGTTCGATAAAGCATCTAGCACTGACTCTGGGTATTCCAATAAACCCCATTTCCATATTATTACTGATTCGAGTTGTTCAGACATATCAGATTTATTTGACTCTAATGAGTCTGACGATCAGTGGGTTTCATGTAAGTAATCTTAAATTTTGTCAAGCCATGTATTTTATGATACAAAATTCAAAGAAAGTTTTTGAAATTTGTTGTTTTCATGTTCTTTTTCAGTTCCAGAGATGCATTTCTCCATGCCTCCCGTTGAAAAATGGAATGTAGAAAAGAAAGCAAATAACCAGAAGAAAATCAAATCAAAAAAGTGAGATTTTGTCATGCTAGATGTATTAGATTTTACATTAAAATTATTTTACACCTTAATTCTATATTTTTAACTGTCTGTACTTAAAATTTCTATTCATCGTTTTTTGTTATAGAATATTGAAATAAAAACCACCAGAGTTATAAATAAAATCTAAATAAAAGTTAGTCAAAAGAAAAACTTCAGGTCAGACGATACGTTCCTCATATATTTGTTTTGTATATCTTCGTAATGTATGAAAATATGCAAAACTTTAATAATTGCTTCCTGATTTCTAAACGGGTTTCTAATTGTTTTTAAACATTTGAAACACTAAAAATGTGATTTTGGCAATTTTTTCCCCTAATGTCTTAGTCACATTTCCCCGCCGGTGGCCGTAGACCGGTGGTAATCGGTGGTAATCCGGGTTGTGAGCAATGCCCCAACATCGGTCCACATCTGCTTACTAGTCCTTAAAGTATCAGTCACATTATCCAGCGATGGCGTATACGATGGGCAACCGATGCGATTTTTGATCAGAATGGCGTGGTTGCCGGCCGGACATGCTAAGGCCAAGCGATGCATTGCTAATCATAAAAGGATGTTCAAGGGTAATCGGCCAATGTATATTACATCGCTCATATATTGGTGAACATTGTTCATAGTTCGGTCGACCCTGGGCTAATGTTTGGTGGAACATCGACAGATAATCGGCCGATGTCTGTTGCCCACCACTCAACCCCACGATGGCTCAGATTCAACGGATCCAACATGACGCTGCTCGGCCATTCATTGGCCAATCCTTGAAAGATGTGTTAATGATGGGTTGCCGATGAGGAGCTATGTGGGGCATCGGTAAGAGACATCGTTGATTTTATACTTAAAACTTATTTTCTACCGAGGACTCCCACCGATTCGCCAAATGGCCTCAGTAACCGTCCAATTACTATAGGTGTACTTCTAGTATCTTGCACAAATGCCTGGTAAGATACAATGTACCTAATTTTTTTGTGATTAAACATGTTAAAGGAGTAATTCTAGAAAAAAAAATATATTATATATATATATTATATATAATATATATATTCAGGAACGAGACGAGTCTGTCCTTAATATGCATTTTCTTGAAAAATGCTGGTTGGATCTCCTCAAATGCGTGAAAATAAATATAACATCAAAGGATATGCCTATAATGAATAAAAGAAATTGAATGAAATTGAAAAAACTGTAAATAATAATAATAATAATAATAATAATTTAAACGTCACTCGAATTTAGTTGTGAAGGATCCGATTCAAGAGTGGGCTCAAATACCTTGTTATAACGAGAATTTGTGCTCCCCGCTTAGGGAAAAAAGAAGAGCATAATCAGTTCGAGGGAGGGGTCGGATTCTCCCTGATTTTTGTATAAATATTTAATGTAAACATGCATATTAAAGGAAATAAAAATGCCAAAATGGAAATAAAGATTTGATTGCTTAGTCTTTATTATGTATAGAAGACTATTTTATATAGAATATTTATTACACTGTAATGATGATTTTATGAGTTTGTACAAGCCGGACGTCATAACTTTTTCAGTTCACACGCTGAATGATATCATTTAAAAAAAGTATTAAAAAAATAAATATGATCGTTCGGGGTTTGTACCTTGTTAAAGTATCAGTCATATTATCCAGCGATGGGGAATGAGATGATGCGTTTTTGCGTTTTTGGTCGATCATCGGTCGATGTTCAACCAAACATTAGCCCATAGTCGAACAACCTACGAATAATGTTCACCAATGTATGAGCTATGTAATATACATCAGCCGATTACCCTGGAACATCGTTTAATGATTAGCAATGCATCGCTTGTAAGTTCGGCAGACAACCACACCATTTTTATAAAAAAAAAAAAAAAAACAACGGAACAAAACATTTGTTGCCCATCGCATACGCCATCGCTGGATAATTTGACTGATACTTTAAGGATTACCAGACCGATGAGGACCGATGCTGGGGCATCGCTCACATCACGGATTACTTCCGATTAACACTGGTCTACAGCCACCGGAAAATGTGACTATGGCATAAGTTAGCTTCACCTTTCTACCTTGTTTTATTTATTAAAGAGCATTTTCAGATCTGATTATACATATGTCACTCTTTTAAATATTTTTTTTTCAAACTCTCCATCATAACAGTGTTTGAACCTATTTATATCAGTAGAAATGCTTGCTACAAGAACTAGTGTGAGAGCTGTTCGCGGACGATGTCAAGCTTCGTTATATTACTCACTAAAGTATCAGTCACATCATCCAGCGATGAGGTATACGATGAGAAACCAATGCGTTTTTTGATGAAAATGGTGTGGTTGCCGGCCGGGCACCACTAGTGATCGGAAGGTGACTCAGGCCATTTTGCGAATCGGTGGGGTCATCGGTAGGAAATAATTCGTAGCTAAAATTCAGCGATGTCTCCAACGATGCTTCACATCGCTCCTCATCGGCAACCCATCATTAACACATCTTCACGGATCGGCCGATGTATGGCCGAGCATCGTCCAATATCCGTTGAATCTGAGGTCATCGGGGGGTTGAGTGGTGTCCAACAGATAATGGCCGATCATCGATCGATGCTCGACCAAACATTGGCCCGTAGTCAACCGATATTCGAACGATGTCCACCAATGTATGAGCGAGATAATAAACATCGGCCGATTATCCTGGAACATCGTTTTACGATAAGCAATGCTTCGCTGGGCCTTTAAAAGTCCGGCCGGAAACCACGCTATTTTTATCATAAAAGGCATTGGTTGCCCATCGAATACCCATCGCTAAATAATGTGATTGATTCTGTAAGGACTACTAGGTCGATGTGGACCGATGTAAGGGCATCGTTAACACCACGGATTACCAACGATTACCACCGATCTACGGCTACCGACCGGGAAATGTGACCTAGGCATAAAAGTTAAAATAAGCACAATACTATGCCTTCGTCACATTTCCTGGCCGGTGCCGTAGACTGGTGGTAATATAATATGTAAAAAATTTGTTTTGTTGATATGTGAAATTTTATTCCATTCGATTCATTTCAAAACATGCACCAAGAATTTCATCGGCGTAGACATCGCTGACCCAAAACGTTTCGCGAAATGGCCTCAGTCCCCGTCCGATTACTATAAGTGTCCGTCCGGCAACCAAGCCATTTTTATTTTAAAAAAAAAAACACATCGGTTTCTCATCGTATACCCCATCGCTAGATAGTGACTGATAGTTTAGAATTGATCAGACGCCATTGAACAATTTTCAACCATAACTAAATTTTTTAAGTTAATTTTTTATTGTGGGAAAATCAGCTAATCAGGTAAAGTCTTTTAATTTTCAGACAAAAAGAGAGACAACTGAAGAGGAAAATCATTCGTACACAACACAGTGCAATTTCATTCACAGATCAATTGTTAGAAGCATCCACACTTGAAGCTAAACAAATGTTCACAGGTAAATTTGATCAAGTTTCGTCAACATTTAATAGGGTATTTTAGTCTTTACATTCCTAACTTTTTAAAAATACACAATCCCAATATTTACATTTCACTGAATCGACTTATTTGTATTCGACACTATTCAAAGGTGTTAAATGATACGGTCTTTATTAAAAAGGTATTTATAGCCCCATTCCAAACAACGTCTTGATTCGTTTAATATTTTTAAAGTCATCATTACATTTTTAAAGAGAGAATTTTTTTCAAAAAATCGGTTTTTGCCGTACAGTGAAAAAAGTCGGTTAGACTTATCACAGGAATTGCAAATGTAAAGACTTTTTCTTAATGAATACAGTAAACTTTTTAAACTTCATATTTCTATACTTTGTTTCTTATTGTTTTATTTTGCGACGGCCATATAAGTTGCTGGCGGGCTCAAAATATGAAGTATCCGGCGGCCGAAAGTTATTTGTGTGGCGGCCGTCAGATCTATTTGTATGGGAGCCACCAGATCTATTTATTTGGCGGTCGCCATAAAAAAGAAAAAAAATTCACCTGGGACCTACCGTCATCCGATTGAGACTGTAATGTCTAAAATGTTATTAGCTCACCTAAGCCGAAGGCTCAAGTGAGCTTTTCTGATCAAAATTTGTCCGTCGTCTGTCGTTGTCGTCGTTGTCGTTGTTGTTGTCGTTGTTGTCGTAAACTTTTCACATTTTCATCTTCTTCTCAAGAACCACTGGGTCGATTTAACCAAACTTGGCACAAAGTATTCTTGGGTGAAGGGGATTCAAGTTTGTTCAAATGAAGGGCCACGCCCTTTTCCAAGGGGAGATAATCATAAATTTGTTAAAAATTAATGGCATTTTTAAAAAAATCTTCTTCTCCAGAACCGATTGGCCAGGAAAGATAAAACTCATGTGGAAGCATTCTCAGGTAGTGTAGATTCAAGTTTGTTCAAATCATGACCCCCGGGGCAAGGGTGGGGCCAAAATGGCCGACCCAAGTTTTACATAGGAATATAAAGGAAAAATCTTTAAAAATCTTCTCCTCAAGAACTACTGGGCCAGGAAAGATTAAACTCATGTGGATTCATCCTCGGGTAGTGTAGATTCAAGTTTGTTCAAATCATGACCCCTGGAGCAAGGGTGGGGCCAAAATGGCTGACCCAAGTTTTACATAGGAATATATAAGACAAAATCTTTAAAAATCTTCTTTTCCAGAACCACTAGGACAGGAAAGATGAAACTCATATGGAAGCATTCTCAGGTAGTGTAGATTCAAGTTTGTTCAAATCATGACCCCCGGGGCAGGGGTGGGGCCAAAATGGCCGACCCAAGTTTTACATAGGAATATATAAGACAAAATCTTTAAAAATCTTCTTCTCCAGAACCACTGGGCCAGGAAAGACGAAACTCATATGGAAGCATTCTCAGGTAGTGTAGATTCAAGTTTGTTCAAATCATGACCCCCGGGGCAAGGGTGGGGCCAAAATGGCCGACCCAAGTTTTACATAGGAATATATAGGAAAAATCTTTAAAAATCTTCTTCTCCAGAACCACTGGGCCAGGAAAGATGAAACTCATGTGGAATCATCCTCAGGTAGTGTAGATTCAAGTTGTTCAAATCATGACCCCCGGGGCAGGGGTGGGGCCAAAATGGCCGACCAAAGTTTTACATAGGAATATATAGGAAATATCTTTAAAAATCCTTCTGAAGATCCACTGGGCCAGGAAAGACGAAACTCATGTGGAATCATCCTCAGGTAGTGTAGATTCAAGTTTTTTCAAATCATGACCCCCGTGGCTAGGGTGGGGCCAAAATGGCCGACCCAATTTTTACATAGGGATATATAGGGAAACCTTTTATAATCTTCTTTTCAAGTACTTCAAAGCTATGATTAGTGATATTTATATGGAATCATCCTCAGGTAGTGTAGATTCTAGTTTGTTCAAATGATGAACGCCTGGAGGGGGGGGGGGTAAATTCAAGCCCGATGTGCTCAGGTGAGCGCTGTGGCCCCTGGGCCTCTTGTATTTATTATATTTTCTGCAAGAAAGACACCGAAAAAAAGAATGGCTGTACGGATACTGTCATTCTGGAATATTCTTAAATATCTAGTTTTAATCAGAAATACATGTTTATCAAGCAAGTAGCAGGTCATGATGATCGAAAAGAGCTGTATAAAATTCAGGTTCATTTTGACTCATTTGTATTTCGACCTCAGTGAAGAAATTTAAGTCCATTTATTATACATATTTATGAAAAAGTTAGGACATTTCTACTTTTCTTGCAATATTTTATTTCACGTCATTGCTATCAGATTTATATTTATCTAAACAATTCTTTTGGGGAAAAAAAATACCAGTGAATGGATCCTGTATGTATCGATCTTGGATTTTTTTTATTTGTAGAGAATTCCTATCGAATTATCATAGTTGGTACAGTGGGATCAGGAAAAAATAGCCTTGGAAACAGTTTAATGGGTTGTCAACATTTCAAAACAGGAATTTCAGGTTCAAGTGCAACTCGCAAATGTGAGAAGGGAGAAGCTTTCAATCATGGAAAAAATATAACTGTTGTAGATACCATAGGGTACACTTCTGAAGTTTTAAAAAAATGTAAACTTCTGAGGGCATTCGATAAAATTTCACCCGGGCCGCACGCAGTTTTAAACGTAATTCCCTTTTCTGAAAGGTTTACAAGTGAATTTTTTTCCTCGATTCAACAATTTGTGAATCTCGTCGGGAAGGAAGTATATAACTACTTGGTAATTGTCCTGACACACGAAGACCAGTTAGAAATGGAAAATCTAACAATAGATGAATTCATAAAGTCGTCACCAACGGAATTCAAAGAATTACTTAATCAGTGTGAGAATCGCATTTTTGCTATAAACAATCGTGCAACCGATGGGGCAAAGCATAAAAAAGTAAAACGGCTTATCAAAATTATAGAAAAAATTAAGAGAAAAAATGCTTGTTTTGAGACATATGACGAGTTTCTGTTTTAAAGGAGCCTTTCAGACATTTTTTTAAAAAATAAAAATCAGCATAAACCTATTTCCTTTTGGTTAGTGATAATAGAATTTAAAACACAGCCTGATGAACCCTACATGAATCAAAAGAACAAATAAAAAAAACCACAATGTTTAAAAATAAATTAAAGAACAAACAATCAGAAATTTCAACAAAGAAAATTAACCAAAAACATGTTCATAATAAATAGGTAAAAAAAGAATGTCTTTGTTTAATTTGCCCTGGTCCTCATCAGTAAGTATATGCAGTGTTACACTTTGTGTTGTAATTACATTGTGCGAATGTGCGAAAAATATAAAGCCAATTGGTGCAAGACACTTTTAGACAATATGTAGAGAAGCATATTGATAAGCTCAGATCATATTCCCCTTTAAATCAAGATTCTGTAGAGCAAACTATTTTTCTTTTATATGTTATCCTGATATTTTGAATTTGTTTTACAAACTAAATTTATGGTCAGATCACTTTATCTTGAAACCTTGTGGTAGAAATTATTTCCAAATGTGCTATCATTAAGTCATTTTGGGTAGAAGATGAAATACAATTTTTATTTGATTGTTCACAATATCAGGCCTCACGAAAACCATTTTTAGAGACTATAAATACTATCTGAAAGAATTGTATCAAATTAATCTACATGTAATAGACACAAGTTTATGTTGCTAATGAGTAAAAAAAAAAAGATAAATGTTATCAAAAGATTTTTAATATTATATTCATAACTGTTTTAAAAAAAATGCATCATGAGAAATAACAATACTAGTCTCTTGTACATGTATTATTTATTCTGTAATATATTTTTTATGTTTATTTGTATGAAAATTATATTCCTATCAACATAATTAATATTCATTGATTGTTCGACTATCATTTAGAAATTCAGTAATTTATGCCTTTGTATGCCTTTTGGACCCACCCAATGGAAATAAAAACATTATTTACTTGCTTGAAGATGATTCCACGGGACCCAGGTCTTTGTTATAGAGATACAAAACTTCGAGAAATAGAAGTACCAGAGAGCAGCAGTAAATTTGCTTAGTTATATAGAGGGAAAAAAACAGGACCGGAGGTTCACTTCGAGAAATCGGGGTTTGAGCCATCGAGAGTCACCAGTATGTACAATATAACATGACCTCTGGTTTCCCTATTGATGTACAAAATAAGTAGCCTCTGGTTTCCATATTGATGTAAAAATCAAGTGTCCTCTTTTCTCCCTAATTTTGTACAATGTTAGCTTCTTGCTTACTGTGTAGCACTTTTTCCTTGGCCTTCACAAGTTGGGTTTATAGATGCCAGAGGCACAACTGTGTGACTGTACCTGTGTTTGAAAAAAATCTAAAACATGAATGTCATTGTATGCCTATTGGAAGTAAAGTTGATTTGAATCCTACATGTAACGAACTGGAATGGAGAATATATATTATTTTCTCAATTCGAGCAACAACTAGTGTGTACCATGAATCATACACAATTTCTCTGTTACGGACTTTTGAAAATATTCTCTTTCAAATTATTTTGAAACTATTCATAATTATCGTAAATATAGGAGAAATTATAGTTTTGGTCACTACCAATAGTAATAGCTACTTCCCATTTTCATGGAAAGTTGTCTGGTTCTTTTTTTCGAATGTGTCCTATTGTAAAAATGTGCGAGAACGATGGTTTCGTAAAGTTATGTTTTTAAAGTAAATTAGATTATAATAAAACTGCTTCAAACGAAATATAAATTTACTGGATTGCTTTTGGGTGCTTTTTAAATACCAGTATCTCATACATTGTGTTTATAGGGATTTCCCTAACAATGTAGTCTGCTTTGCATGTGTATCTCTTTTACAACAGCTTTACTAGTATTTTGGAATGAACGAGTCATTTCTACTGCTGAGTCCGACTCTCAGATCATTCCTAGAACCAGCCCTCAGTAGCCCGTTCTTTGTGTTATCTCTTGCTGAGGGAGAATTCTTAAATAATTTAATTTTGTTTGTATACTAGTCCCTCATTGGTTGATTACCAAAAAGGAACGCAAATTATTTCTTAATAACCTGGTTCGGTATGGGGACACATCCCCTTGACAACCAGCTGAATCATCTGTATCCAAATAATCCCATCATTTCCTGTCCTTGTAATTCATGAGAAATTCCAGATTTAATAAATGTACCTTTAACATCAAACAGTAGCTCGATTTAACCTCGTGTACACAAACATCATGGCTGCTAGAACTGTATATAAGTTATTAACCTCCTCTTGTTTCATATCACTTCCGTTACTAGGGATGTATTATTGAGCGGCCAATTAGAACTCATAAAAAGCAACACAATTTTACACTAACAGTTGTTTATTTATTTTAAAATTAAATTATAAGGAATGACTCTAATTCTTGGCCAAATTATTCGATTATTACCTGGTTTGGGACAGTTTACGCTTTATAATCCGCTTCAGTTTACGCTTTATAATCCGCGAAGCAAAATTTACATCATATAACATGTTTAAAATCTAAGATTTTGTGGAACGAACTTAAGTAGGCTAGCACAATTTTTACAACAATGTGGGGAGAACCATCTCAGCGCGAAACGGAATAGGTGCAAAACATCGCAGCTCGAACCATGCATAGGTGCGAAAAATCCCGTTACCGACGCTTCCACTCTATCGCGGAACAGCGAATTTGTGTTATAGAGACAAGCGTCTGGATGATCGAGACTACAAATAATGACGAAAAAGTAGTAGCATATAATGAAAAGTTGTATAATGAAAAGTAGAAGCATATAATGAAAAGTAGTATAATGACAAAATACCATCATATAATGACAAAGTACCATCATATAATGACAAAATACCATCATATAATGACGAAAAACCATCATACAATGACGAAATACAATCATATAATGACAAAGTACCATCATATAATGACAAAATACCATCATATAATGACAAAGTACCATCATATAATGACAAAATACCATCATATAATAATAAAATACCATCATATAATGACAAAGTACCAGCATATAATGATAAAATACAATCATATAATGATAAAATACCATCAAAAAATGACAAAGTACCAGCATATAATGGCAAAATACCAATATATAATTACAAAGTACCATCATATAATGACAAAATACCATCATATAATGACAAAATACCATCATATAATGACAAAATACCATCATATAATGACAAAGTACCATCATATATTGACAAAATACCATCAAAAAATGACAAAGTACCAGCATATAATGAAAGTTGTCCACATAAGGCAGTTACGGCGTTCCATAGTAAACTGACCCAAACCAGGTTATCATCGAATAATTTGGCCAAGAATTAGAGTCATTCCTTAAATACTGTAGATTAAGATAAGTGTGTGATGTCTGAAATATTTACATTTACTTTTTTGGTCAACATACATGGGATTCTTATCTTTATTTAAAATCAATTAACATGATGTCAAATTTATCAATTTCAACATACCAGTTGCTAATATTACAGTACTGTACTGTTCAGATTCTTGCAGGTATATCTTTCATAATGACAAACAGTACTTTATGTTTCACGTACACAGTCTATTCTCTAGATACAATTATTTGTGGCATGTTGAAGATGGCATCAAGATTGGGTCCTTTGTTTTATTTTCTTTACCTGGCATTGTATTACCATAGCACAAGGAGATATAACAAGACTGTTCGCATAACTTATCTAGCAAAAGAAAGACTGTCACAGGAATTCGTTATGTACGACACTGTTGATAGGGAAACGTTCCATGAAGCTGTAGGTAATTTGTCTTTGTCTAGAAGAATGGGAAAAGCCTGGGTGGATGATGTGAATTTATTTAATAATAACCCCTGTATTGAAGAATTATGTTTAGAACAGAATGTGAGTCAAGAAAATGGATTTGGACTTTTAAGAATATGTCAATTTGTATTGTTAGAAATGTTGTCAGTGTTATCTCACTATAGACTAGGTAATAGATTTCAGTGTTTACAGTCTCTACGAGACCTACAGACACTGTTACTCTGTCATGATGGGAGATATATTTCTTCAATTACCAGAGACTTATCCTGGCAGATACTAGGAATCTGTCAGCATGTTGTGGGAGATTTACACGGTGCTTTACAGTCTTATAAAGAGTCTCTTAGACAAAAACCATTCAGCGATATAAAAAAAGCTACAGACTTTAGAATAGAATGTATTAAACAACAATTACATAGAAATGAATACATGTAAGAATATGTTTCATTATGTTTTATCGTAAAAAGGTCGTTGTAAACCAAACTGCAGTACTTATTTGGTACAAATGAATAGATCACACGGTGTTATATATGGAATAGGATTTATTTTGTTCTTTCTTTATAATTAGAAATTCATGACGTTTAAATCTCCATATAACACACGCAAATCCCTGTCACCGCGCATTAGAATACACAGTAGGAATTATATGCATTTTCAATACTCTAGAACACCAAAAATGTATGTTGTTTTGACTCCATTTAATTTTTAAAAACTGTATACCTATACTGTTAAATTACGTAACTTAAAGATACAACAAATGTGCGTTTAAAATTAGTTTGTCATTTTTTTCTTGCAATGTTCGTTTGTGTTTTTCAACTTTGCAAAGTCATAAACGGCTCTTACATCTATTAAGCACACCAGTTTTGAAAAGCGCTAAATTCACATTAAAGATTAACGAAACAAAGAGTTATGAAAAGGGAAATGAGAGAATCAAAATAAAAGCAATAAAAACGCGCTATATTCAATTTGACGGCACGGCCAGATGTGTGATAGGACCGACTACATCCACAAATATGAATTCAATGATTAAATAAATGTTAAAATAGTAATTTTGAAAGGAAACGTTCTCAAATATTGTCGTGGCATTACCAACATTCTCTGAAATAATTTACAGTTCTTTAACACAAAAAACTTACCTGGTGTGTTATCCCAATCGGTATATTTTCCCCGGTAAGTTATTAAGTTCGTAAATGTAAAGGGAAGCTTTTCAAATATCCTAAAAGTTGGTCACAGAAATTTTGGATTTCTATTTGCACATCTTTTCATCTGAATATATCATAAATACACATGTTACTGTACGTATCACAACCTGTCAATGCTGTAAAACTGAAAAAGTTGCCGTCGACTGTGTTAGATTAAACGAATATGTCCTCATTCATGCAGTGTCGTTTTTCACGATCATCCTTTTCCCCAAAAATTTAACAGATTAATGGTTTTCCTCTCTTTGGTAGCAAAAAAAACCGTTTCCAGAATTCTATTGTTCATACCAGACATCTCAAAGCCAAACATTTTACAAAATTATGTCGATTTCTCTCTTTTCTTTCCCAAAACTGTACTGTTGTTATGCAGACGATTTGATTTGTTTAAAAAGGGGCAAATTCAACAAGAAACGAAAGTAGGAAATAAGTCAGGAACGTAACTGACAGGTATTGAAATCCAGGAAAATATCTATTAAAGTAAAACTATTTAATTATTCCTTCAAAAAAGTAATCTGGAAGCGGGAAATATACATGTAAAGACAACCAAAGTAGTTCCGGCTGCTTAGTGCAAGCGAACTCTAGATTTTATTGATGCAGGTATCAAATTGATTTCTTATCCAATCAGAATCAAGTATTTCATAGAAATTAAATGATATGTTGATACCCTGGATATATTCGTCACATTGTGGTGACGGCCGGGGATTTACTTTAGATTATCCTGAAGCACGGTGATGGACATCAAATAAAATTAAGTGTCGGGAAATAATAAAAAAAAAAGTTTGTAATGATACATTGTAAAATTTGACAAGTACTTTTATGTTTTACTCAGATTGCTAAAATCCAACATTGGTAAAAAATAAAAACATAATTAAGTGCCGCAAGTCCAAACTATTCTTCTTCTTCTGGACAAACATGCCTGTCCGAACAGGCAAAGTGTAGGCCTCTGGGGCAACTTCTACATTGCGATCTTGATCGTCGTCGTTGCCCTGTTGACAATCGGAACACACGATGCAATCCTTTTCTTTGTTACCTGCAGTATAAAAGAGTGTTAATAATTCGTTTCCCCCTTACAGCAAGCTATAACTTATCATATATCTTCAAAAATGGATTTGGGTCTCAAGATTAAAGACAGTCTGATTTAAATATTATTTATTTAGATTAAAGGTTTATCAATTTTATTCAATCAAAGGTCAACAAACCATTCACAGAATTTCATACCCATATACGTACTTGTGTTTATTAAAAGTTTTTACTTGTTTTTATGTATATAATGTGGACAAAATAAACGACAAGGAGGGAAAATTTGAATTATGTTACAGACCTTCAGAGACCGTAGCCTATGTTTAATTAGGCTGAGGGGTGTCAACAAATTAACCATAAGATATAACTTAACCCCTTTCCCCGCAGTCACGCATTTTAACGCATATACCATTTCCTTTTTATAACGCAAAATTACGCATATACCGTTTCCCCGCAATAACGCATTTTCCACCCACTTTAAAAAGTTCATTTAATCTTTAATTTAATGCCAATTTCCTTCTATTTTATACTTGCAAAAATCTCAAAAAATAAGAAAAGTTATTTATGTATTAAAATATAACTGCAGAATATTATTTACGCTAAATTTTAAAGAGAAACGTGTACCACGCTAAAACGTGTTTGGGGGGAAAAATGGAAAATTTCTATTTCTATGACGTGAACATTCAGTGTATGTTGCATAACAGTTCACTAAGTTGTAAAGAGTTAAAATAATACAAAGTTTATTTACCTTGAATAGGTTGTATCCCAATATTCCTATTCCTAATCACCCCTCTAACAGGCTTTCCTCTATTAGCATGATGTTCTCTACTGATCTCCTCTATAACCTCCTGTACAAATCTCAATCTGGGTTTTTTCATGCTAAATTTTTTTTAAAATTATGCATTACTGCACATTCTGTGTATGATATTAAACCAAGTTTCTTCCGAACTTTAGTTGACTTTCGATTATCATTGTAAAAATGCAATAACATGTCAGCTCCATCAACTCCCCCCATGTTCATATTGTAATGATGTACTATTTTTGGCTTTCCGTTGGAGTTTTCGGCATTCATGAATGTACTTAACATTCTTACAGGCTTTTTCCCTCCCTTCCTTTGTAAGCCGCGGCCAAAATGTCACCCTGTCTGACATAAACACTTTCATTTGGTCCCACATATGCGTTTTTGATTGAAAAGGGGGATTTTTGTTGGATCGTAGTGTCCCTGTCAAATATGTACCCATGTCAATCAACCTTCTTGCCAAATCAAAACTACAAAAAAGCTGTCGCAAACAACATGGTAACCTTTCCGGAGTAAATTACAATTTTTTAAAAGTTGTAATACTACTTCTGTTCCTTGCAACATATTTGAAGTTGGTGTAAAGGTTTTACCCAAGTAGCATTTTAAGTGAGCAACATATCCAGTAGCGCTTTCAGCCAATACCCAGAACTTAACACCAAACTTTGCAGCTTTAGAGGGTATGTATTGCAGCATTGAGGTTCGACCTCTAGTGCCAATTAATGACTCATCAACACAAATATTCCTGTCCGGCGTGTAGAAATAATTGGCGACACGGCTGAAGTGGTCGATGAGTGGTCGAATTTTGCCATCAGGTCTGTAAAGTAATATTTATTCATGAGGCCACACCAAAATTTAATTTTATGTTCTGGGGCATTTAATGAAAAAAAATAAGAGCGGGTAATTAGCGGTTAAATTTTAACAGTACATGTATTACTTTTAATGAGCAAACTTTTAAGGCAAGCATTAAAAAAAAAGAGCAGACAATTATATTTTTTTTAATTTGCAGAGTAAGCAGATTAAAAATACGATAAATGTGGCGGAAATGAAACATGAAATAGTACTGAATTCCCATGGTGCGGGAAATTTAAACTAATATTATTATGATATCACCAACTTTTCAAAAGATATAGATAAATATGTAAAATAGCTGATTAATTGTTTATATATATCATTATGAAATATTTGTATATTATTGACAATAAATATAGATAAAAAAATTATATTTTGTACAGTTTTAAAAAATACGAGCGCGTGGGTCCGAAAAACATTAAAATTTTATTTTGTGGCCTTATGATTTGTTTTTTGTTATCAGTATTGCATTTAAAGACATACGCAACCTAAGTTGCACTTTGTTGACTTTATTCCTAGATTTAAAGAGTTTCAATATTTAAAGGACTCGTTCATCTAGTTTTGAATCATTTTATTAAACAAATTATACGTAATAAGAAAATTTTGGTTCGTAGGGTGAAATGCAAAATTCACCTGTAATTTGGACTGTTTCGCTTTGGGATTTTCCTGTTGTCAACAATGTGAAAAAATTTCAGAATAAGCTGGAACCGGTTTCTAGGGAACATTTTCATGAACCATCGACTCAACTGGCTATCATGCCTCTTGTTCCAATATTCCGGAATGGTGGGTTTCCTGATTAAACCCATATTCAGTATCACAGCAATGAACCTTTTCATTTCACTTATGGTCACAGGAACCCGATTCCTTGCTCGTGAAAATCGAGACAGTAAAGAATTTCTAATCTGATTTCGAGCATACCTAAATTTTTGTATAAATTGTACATACGGTATATTTTTTATACATACAAGAGAAAATTTCTGAAATAATTATTAAATATTGATTTAAAAAATTATACTTTCATGAATCATTTATGTTGTCGTTAAAAGCAGATCGAAAAAAAAGGTCATAAAGGAAGGGAAAATGCGTTAGGATTTTTTAAAAACATACAATATGTACTAGTACTTGTTATCATAGTTATGAATATCAAACTACATGAAGCATAAAAAAAGCTAAGATTTTTTTCATGTGAAAATTATTGATTTAAATGTGATAGTCATAAGATATCCTTGCACTTTTTATACTAAATTTGATATGCTAATTAAGTAGAAATTTTGGTCGTATCATTAAAAATATATATATATATATACACCAGTGCAATCAAGAAAAGTCAGATTAGAATTAAAAAACAAAACCAAAACACTAGTTTGTTTATTAATTTTTTTTTTTGGGGGGGGGGGGGGGGGTAAGTGCAGTACCAGCAAATCGAACGCAAGTGCGTTTGGTGGAGTACTGGTATCTGGAAAAACGGAGAAATTACTGTGTTTTTCGTACTTTAAGATATTAAAATCAATCGCTGTAAAAGGTTCATTTAGCTTAATTTCCCCAATAAATAAATTACACTTCAATCCCGAATATACGGATGTGGAGTGTATACATGTATATACACGGTGAATGTTGACCAACTTTATGAAAGACACTAAAACCGGAGTTATTTCTTTTTAAATGCATGCACGTGTGCTGCAATCTGATTGGCTGAAACTTAAAATGGCTATAACTCCCTTGTTTTTCAACCAAACAGGATGGGATTTAGAACATAGATAAATATCAGGGACTCCTACAAGAAGGTATGGTCATCATGCACGTGCACGCACGTGTGTGCATTTGGAACGAGTGAAATTAAAAATACACTTGAATGAGTGATTTTTAATACTTTTGGACTGAATGCTTAATAAATAGTATATTAAAATATATAGATAGTGTAGACAAGATGATATGGTCATAACGCACATGCATTCACATGCGCACGAGTGCAATGCTTAAATTTAAATATAATTGGTATCCTTCTGGGAAAACATTGTTAAAGTCAAAAATGCACAGAATTTGTCTTATTTAATGAAGCTTACAGGGAATATGGCACCAAAAGGGAGTTGGGGAGCGTTTGGGGAACATCTGTAACGATCCCCGTTACAATTAGCACTAGTTTATTTTGACTTAACCTTTTATGCAAATTTCTTTTGCGCATAAATGTTGGAAAGAAACTCTTTATGTTGCCATAATTTATGGAACATTCATTCACATAATAGTTTTAGCTTAGAATATTTGAATTTCAAATAAATCATTTAAATTGATAATAGACAAACTACTAGTATTTTGAATGGGAAAAAACGGAAGAATGAACTGAAGACACATGTAAATGCAAAAATATATCTTAAGATCCTAATTAACAAGCAATTAAATATTTTACGGGCGGTATTTTCTATTAATGACATACGCACGCAAGGTACCTTACCTACTTATAATTTTTCTAGATATTCTTAATTTAAGATTAAAGTGCCATCAGATGTTCATAGAGAAAAAAAATAAGCATGCATTACCAGGGGGTTTTGGAATATATCAAATTATGAAAAAGTTTGCATTATTCAAAGAAAAATATACAAAAGTGACAAAAAAAAAATTTCCAGATTTTTTTCCTTCAAAATTTGAATTAGAAGAGGTGTTCAAATCCATATATATACATTAAAAGGATTGCACACAGATCCTTCATTTAGTGGAACACTTTAACTTCAGGGAAGAGCCCAATAAAGTTCAAACCACGTTGCATATGACCTTAATATCATGATATGTTTAGTACATCTACTTGTCATTTTCTGATGAAATGTTGCAATAACCTTTTATTTTGTTTACTTTTTCAAGATACGTTCCTTTCTTTAATTTCTTGTGATACAAGACAGCAGGCAACAACTGAATCCAAACAGTAAGACATCATTTATTAATTTACACTTCTATATATACCTATATGAACTTTGGTCTATTAACTAATAAAACTATTTTTAAAAACAATTAGCTAAAATGTTTTCGTAATTTTTAATAAACCTGTTGTAAAATGTATGGCTTTTACAGATGAATCTCCAATTCAAAATTTTGCACATATCTCGTTACCAATTTTTATAGTTTTTTTTCAGGTTTAATTTTGATAAAATTGATAAATACCTTTCTTTACATATACATGTACAGCAGCTAAAACATTTTTAAGGGAAAATGAAATCAAACATTCTTTGTATATAAGATCGCTTTGTGATCGGGTAACCTTGGTTTGATTCTCTTTCGCGACACCACGTCAAACCTAAGACGTAAATATAGTTTCTAACCGTCCTTCGCCAAGCGCTTGGCATTAGAAGTGAAAGTCACAGGTCTTTCGGATATGATCTTAAAAACGTAGGACCCGTATCACGGTGGGCGCTGGCACGATAAAGAACCCTTACTGCTCTATGGCCCGGAGTTCCGAGTTTAGTTCTGAAAAAGTTTCTTTACTTTTATAGGCCGATGATATCGTGTTCTTAACAGAAAATGAGGATGATATGCAAGTTTTACTGGACTTATTTTATAATTGTTGCTTAAAGTGGCGTTTAAATGTAAATGTCGAAAAGTCAAATGTTGTGCATTTTCGTAAAGGGCGTCAACCGCGCACTAAGTTCGAATTCAGGTTAGGAAGTGAGAAATTACAGATCGTTCCACAATATAAATACCTTGGAATTATTTTTCATGAAAAGCAGTCCTCTTTATATGTTGCAGCGGTGACTCTAGCAAAGGCTGGAGGCAGGGCACTGGGTGGAGTGATTTCGATAATACATTCTTATAAGGATGTTGGATTCAGAACATATGAAAATCTTTATAATTCTTGTGTTGTGCCAGTTCTTGATTATTGTTCGGGATTATGGGGTTATAATGTTTTTCACAAAATTGATATGGTGCAAAATCGTGCAATTCGTTATTTTCTGGGGCTTCACCGATTTACCCCTTTACTTACCCTTAACAGCGAAGTTGGATGGCTACCCTCTACACAGCGACTTTGGCTTAATATATTTCGGCTTTGGAACCGAATTCTTCAGTTGGAAAATGACAGATTAACGAAAAAAGTTTTCATTTGGGATTATAATATGCAGGGTGTGTGGTGTTCACAAATCAAAAATATATTTGATAGTCTCTACAGTAGCGTTTTTTTTTCAAAACCAGTAAATAGTAAATACCGAATACATGTACCAAAAACTTTGTCAATATTCTGAAAATGAATGGAAAGTGAAAATACAATCATCACCAAAATTAAGGACATATATTTCCTTCAAAATTAATTGTGAAACCGAACCATATGTTGCATTTAATATTTCAAAAAAACGAACGATCAGTCTTGGCACAGTTCAGATGTGGAGTGCTTCTTTTATGCATTGAAACCGGTCGCTATAAAAACGAAACCCTAAGTGAAAGAACGTGTGTTTTCTGTTCTAGTTCCGTTGTTGAAGACGAAAAACATTTCTTATTACACTGTCAATTGTATAATAATGCTATGAAAAAATATTTTGATTATGTGTACAACGGAAGGAGCACCCAAATAGTAATGATTATGATTATTTGTTTAAAGTTCTAAATCAAAATTACCAAATAAAGTTAGCCAAAGAAATACAGCATTTAACCTTCGAATGAATCTTCTGCATTTTATTAATATCAATGAAACAATGGCAATAAAGTCTTTGTATACGATAAAGAACAGTTCAATGGTACTTGCTGAATAGTCTTTATACCAGCACTAAACAGTATACAGTAAATGTAAATAATGCATAATGTCACTCTTGAATAAATGATTACTTATTTTCAATATATGAGTTTAAGCATCACCATATTTTGAAATAGTCAAAATGGATGTTATCAAATTCTTGCTAAATTTTTTCTTTTGTTTTAGGCAAAATATGAAAATAATAGATATATCAATAAACTCTTGTTTCAGATGTACATCGCTTTAAAATTTAAATTCAGTATTTTTATGGTTTTTTGTCAATAAATCTTTGTTTAATGTCTCACAAAACAGTTCTTTGGTAATTCATTAATCATTTTATATTACCTGTAAATTAAGGAATTTTTGTGACAAAAAACGGGGGGGATATTTTGTAGTGAAATATTTTCACGTTTTCCGTTGATTTTTTGAACATAGTTTCACCAAAATTTTAAAATGTATCTCTCATTATCTTTTCTTATATTTTATGAATAAATATAAAGATATATAAATTAATGAAAAAATTATTTAGTTGTAACTTTTGAAAATTGACTTGGAAAAATCGGCATTTTTTTTTTGTTCTTTGTCTATAAACATACAGCAAACACAAAAAGCTTTGGCATGTGTAAATTTATAAATACAGTCCATATTACCTGTAAAAAGGAATTTTTGGTCCAATGGACCGGGTGAAAGATGTGTTAAAAATATTTTGTTTACAATGTATTTCTATAGTGAAAAACTCAAATTTTACTAAAATTATAGAGTTACCTCTCTTTGGTATCAAAAAAAGTAGCACATTTATTAAAATTCGAGAAATGCCACAAAACGGGGTTCAAATTCTTGCGAATATGAAAATAATTTTACCGAGAAATATTTAAAAATGCTGAAAATTTGCTTATTCCCAAACAATATGATTGTTCAACAGCTATTTGATTAAAAATTTCATTTTATTATTTTTTTTTATATTGTTTTGTTAATCTACTTTGGCCAAAGTGAAGTCAGTTGGCTATTTCTTCAAAATTCAGCGATATGGTTCCTGAGCCTCTCTTCTTTAATAGGGTCCTTTACTAGCATTTTATTCAAGATAGCTAGCTTATCTTAAATTTTTTAAATATATTTGATGTTTAATTAAATCTACATTATTGAGACAAAATATATCGATGTAATACTAGATATATAAATACATATTATATTTGGGTAAATATAACA